TTTTTTTTTTTTTTTTCAAATACCTACACTAATCACGTCTTGAGCAGTGTATAAGCATTGTCTACGCAGATCTAATATGCATATAATATATGCATCGGAATTAACTGTAACATGTGCAATGCTTAATAAGCACCAACTACAGTATGTATGTCAGTGCACTCTGCTTTGCGTTTTTTCTACGCTAAGAATTATATCAGATTAGAAGCTGACTTAAATCTGATCTTTTTTTTTACAGAAAAAGTGGCCCTTCTTTTCCCTTTTCTTTCTACTTCAAAAATTGGCCTGATATTTGCTTTTTGTGATGCTCCGATCGTTTGGTCTGTCAAACTGAAACAGATGTGATCTTTTTGAAATAGTAAGTAATTAGCAGTAGTAAGTAAGTAAATTTCGATGACAAATTTGCAGGTTGGAAAAAGCCGTCAATTCATAAGTCCGATTCAAGCAAATCCATTCGATTTATGTTTCAAAAGTGACTGTCATCCGGATGCAACGTGCACTTCCAGCGCTACAGGCTATACGTACGCTTTTACATGTAATTTTTTCAAACGGTGAAAATTTTCTCAGTTATGGTATTTGAAAGCGTCACACCTGCTACACCTACGTCTAGGAGTACGTAAGACCGTCCGGGTGAGTACTACGTGTTAAAGTTATTGCTGCTGGGCTCGGATGTTAATTTACGTATAGTTCTCCATCCATGGAGCTGGCAACATGTTATTATTGTTGTTTTGTAGCCTCTGAGTTTTTTTTTAACATACGAGATCTTCGTTTGTCATCGTGGGCGAAGATTTACTGTTACCTTTGGCCTAACTTAAAGTGTTGTTTAACAGCAGTGACTTGTCCGGTGGTTCTTTTTTCTTTAAAATGGATTGAGGATGAGGAAGCCAGGATGATGAATCAAAATACTGTATGTATGCAAGAGCAATCCCTGGTTCAGTATTTTTAAACATATAGACTCCAGTACCAAAGCACTTCTGTAATCGAACATTAGCTTCAGCCAATGAAAGAGAGAACCGTCGACAACCTTACATCTCCCAGCCAAAACGCTTTCATTTGGACCATGATGAACATCCCTAGCTCTGTCAGTGCTTTGAAAAAGTAATTTATGGCACATTTGCAGATGTAAATGTCCGGACACATATCGTGACTTGAATCCATCGCATCCAGGGCGAGAATGTGTGAACACGGTAGGCGTGAACGAATGCGAGCGAAAAGAATGGAATGAATGTGACGAAAATGCTCGTTGTATCGATGAGGTTCATCTTTACAGGTTTGAGCTGTTACTTATGAAATACTTAGATAAGAAAACTAATTTCTGGATTCGTAGTATCAAGAAGTTCATCAAGATCGGTTCTTGGATGGAATGTCTGAGGAATTTTAAAGTGCAACTGACAACACTGTTTGGCGAAACCGTTCGATTTTTTTAAGTTTTCGCAAAGGCTTGAGCAGAATGTTGAAAACCGTTGTTTGAATTCCGAGCAAAATAGAAATTTTAGCATACGTGTATTGAAGAAATATACCAGAGCCACATTTACATGGTGTTGTCTATATGACATATCTAAAATACAGTAAGGCATATCTGAAAATATTGGATGACATTTTCTGGAGTGCTGTATGGGATATCCCATATTCAGTACACGCTTCCGTATCTGTACAATGTACATTACAGATGCAATACTTGTATGCTGAAGTTTCTGTGCATTGGGAAAATTAACGGTTGGATAATCCTAGTGTAATTCACTGATTGGTCATATTTTTATTAAGTGGCCTGGTCTGAAAGGTGGGCATGAAATGCATAGGGCATGGGTGCCATAACTGGATCGCAAACTCTTATGCGGCCCATATTTAGGACAAGAATGTGTGATTGATTTTTTTCACTTGATTGTCCGGTTCGCTACTTCCGCATTGGGAAGTAATCCCAAAAAAAGAGAAAATCGCGCAATTTTAAAATTTTAATCTCTCGAGAAGACGGTACCTCATTTGGGATGATAAACGGGTTTCTTTTTTTATCTAGTTACAACTTTGGGCCAACACAAAGAGGAGAGAAAAGCGGGAAATGTACCAAACAGTATTTCCATCGAAGCTCTGTACATCATACAAATGATGTATTGCGTTTCAGGTGTGAATGCATAAAACCGTATGTAAACGCAGCCCCTCCTGGCAAACTGCCGGGCTCAAAATGCCGCCTCGATTACTGTTCCGATGTGAATTTCTGTCCTGCAAATACTACTTGTCAAAATCAGGATGAAAAGGTTAGAACTTTCTTCATTACCTATTAATAATCCACGCCACAGCCGTACTGACGAAGTCCAATGGTGTCGCTGAATGAAGACATTTGCAAATTAGTGAATCGAAACGTCTTTATCTCAGCTAAATTATTGTTTCCTCATAAATACTATTGGTTGTTGTTTTATTGCTTCCAGCATACCTCACTTATGAGCTAACAGCTATTCTTCGATCAGCGTTTATTATTCCACTCAAATTTAATAAGTAACTTAGACCGTCTGCTACCAAATAAATGTTCACAATGTGATCGAGAAACAGTTGAATCTGAGGAAACACCGAAGCACTGAAGTCATTGGCGGATCCAAGGGGAATGTGGGTCTTCCCTCCCCGCCTCTCCTCTACCCGCCTTGCCCTCCAGCCGCACGGGTTGTAGTGCTGAAAATGAAGAAAACTGTCTTCGACATCGCTCGTCGCCCTTTCCTAGGAGTCCCACTTTCTTCCCCCGCCCTCCCTCTGACGGGAATCGCCGTAGATCTGCCTATTACTGAAGTTAACGCAGCAGTGAAATAATCGTGACTGAAGTTTTTTGGCTATTGCAGGCTGTTTGCGTTTGTAAGCCCGGTTATGTGGATATACGCGATAGCCCGTATCGTACCGAGCATTATGCGGAGAACGTGTACTGTCTGCTACTGAAAGACGTTGACGAATGTGCGCTGGGACTAACAAACTGCAGTGCGGTGGCTATCTGTACCGATCTTCCAAATGGATATGAATGTCGATGTCCGGATGGGTGAGCGCTACAGACTTTCAAAGTAGTCCGACATTCCTCCGAGGCTGCGTAATTCCAGCTCATTGTTTGGCATTTTTTTGTTAGCTCTTCGTTGTCTAACTTGCTGACTGTAGTACGCAGCAAAGACGATAACGTGGCGGAAAAAAAAGTATGTTGGCCATTCTGTTATATGCCTCAGAAAGTCAAGTCACACTTTTTTTGACAGTTAAAATAGTGCGAAATGGAGTGGGAATCATCAGTACAGCGCTCCATTTCGCTATGTATTTGGGGACATGTCAAGTAATTTAGAAGAGAAGAAGAGGATGATGTAGGATAGACAAATTGTTAGATTCTGTAAGAATAGAAAGTAAACTAAAGGTTTACTGCTAATCTTCTTATAGGGATACACTCGTCAGCCATGCTTGACCCGTTCGTATCGTTTCGCAATTTAATTGCTTCCGATATTTTTTTAAAGTGCAGACCATCTCTTTGATGACCGTTTGAGTGATTATTTTTTTTTTTTTTTTGCGAATATTAATCTTTGATATGTTAAAGGCCGATGTAACTTTTTCAGGAGGCTAGCAAATTGTTAACTGGTACTTGTAGGGACAATTTTTTTATAATCATTCAAAAAAGTCCTCAAAAGTCTGCAGTGCTGGGAGATCTTCGCTGTATTTGCTTTTGGTACTGAAGCATTTCAATTTACATTGAAGGTACGTGGACGGTAGCCCATCGGAGCCGGGACGTGTATGTGCTGCACAACTCTGCGGTCTTTGCAATGGTCATGGCGATTGTGTGTACAACGAAGCGACAAAGAATGTAACATGCTCGTGTGTTGAGGGATACACCGGCGAATTTTGCGAGATAGCACCCTCAAATGTACATCTCATATTGTTCCTGATCCTGGCCAGCATACTACTGCTACTGTCGCTGTGCTGCTGTTTATATCTCTGCTCCAGGCTCAGGTTATTTTTCTTAACTTTTAGAATGTTAACGACTGTTTGGGATGACCTTCGAAGAGGGGCACAAATACATCAGACAAGCGGTGGCTATTAACTGGAAGTATGCAGCCCAGGATCGAAGGAACTGGCATAGCTGAGCCTGGCGTACGGGTCTTCCTAGAACACCACTATGGAATATCAACACCGATCATTGGGACAGTTTTGGTTTTCATGGTAAATTAAAATTAACTCTTCAGCGTGGCACACAGGTGTGATACGTTTCCTCTTGAAACTCCACACATAGCGAATAATTTGCTCAGAGGTTCAGTGTGCAAGGATTAGGACTGAGTTGAGAACAGCCAAAAAAAAAGTAGCTGGATTTTCCGTAACAACATTTTTTATTTTTAGGTGTTTCGGTGGACGACGAGGGCTGACACCAAGTGACGGAAGTGCCCAGGAGATCCTCGGCTCTGATTATTATTCGATTCCACGAGCAAAACTCAAAAGACGTGATGTAAGTTCAAGATTCGCATTTAAGTCAATTTCACACTTTGCACATCTGAATTTATATCGTAATCGCATAATAAATATTTAATAAAATTTTAGCTCCCGCAGATACGGTACTATAAGTTATACCCAGAGTAACAGTAATAATACGCTGGGCCTTTCAGAGGCCGCCAGAGG